GCTTCTACGTCTTCCCGAACTTCACGACCCGGTGCCATGAAAGAAACCGACGGAGCGGAGTTGAGAACCGGTGGCGAATCGCTTCGTGGCGTCCAAGGGAGAAGTCGGATGATAGTTCGACGTCTTCTCCGAGGGCCCACGAAACGGGTGTCGTCACCGAGGGAGGCAAGGTACGACACAATACAATATACAATGGTATTACGTACATAATATGTAAATTTTACAGTCCTTTTATGTAACAGAAACAGGATAAAACGACATCAACAGGCATAAGGGCATTTATTTAAACATATATAACACATCATCTTTATAAATAAAGATTTAGAATTCACTATTTATATTTATATTCAACAGTCTTGTTGACAAAACCAATTTTGTTATGCTGTTCCAAACTCTTTAGGTAGATTTCATTTCCTTCGACAAAATCAAACAAATCGTAATCAAAATTCCCTCAAATTAACTGATTTGTGAGACTTAATTTATGGATGCATCTCGTAGATCACGATTTGCATAAGTCTCACCTGACTTAAAAAGACATCTCGGAACATACATATGAAACAGAGAGTGTACAAGGTAGTAGTAGATATTATTATCTGTTTTCACTAACATTAATATGGAAAATACGTATTATCTATTTGTATTTACCCCAAACTGATGTTCTTTTTCGTACGTCCAGTTTTTTGTAATTAAGTACCTACTTATACCAATACCTTTTCAATAAACATCTGAAAAATCGTTCTATAAGTATTTACTTAAATATGTAATGGCAATTTCGCGTCTTATACGAGGTCTGTTCAGAAAATAACCGAACTTTTTTTAAACTTTATATTATTAATTTTATACATTATTGGTCCTTGTCTCCTTCAAAATACTCCCCTCCCTCAATCTCACACTTTTCCCAGCGGTGTTTCCATTCGCAGTAATATCGTTTTTGGCACAAAACTGACGCACGTAAAAACGCCTAGATAGCACACACGGTTCACTATTTAATCTTGAGGCAAGAATTCAAATTGCATAATTCCATTAAAGCCGAAAATAAAATAGTGAGCATCACTTTGACATTGAATCTAGACTGACGTGCTTTCTTGGGGTTTGGAGATTATTTGCCAATCCATTGTGATGATTGAACCTTTGTCTCCATGTCGTAGCCGTAAACCCAGCTTGCGTCTCCCATTATGACCCTTTGAATGACTGTTTCATCGTCATTGGATTGTTCAAGAATTTTCCAACAAACGTCCACATGATTTTCTTTCTGTAGATCGGTTATAAAACGAGGAACAAACTTTCCTGCAACTCGATGCATGTTCAATGCTAACCTCTTCTGCAATTTTTCTGATAGTCAATTGACGATTTGCACACACCAGATCTTTGACATTCTGAACGTGGGAGTCATCAGTTAAAGTTGAAAGTCTTCCTGGTTGAAGATTATATTTAGTTCACTGACGACCACTTTTAAATTGTGAAAACCATTCGTACATTTCGTACAACTCCAAGCATCATCTCCGTAAGCATGTTTCAAAAGTTTTTCCCAGTTTCACGCAAAATTTTGTGTTGCATCGTTGTTCTAGAAAATCGTACATTACAAAAATCGTCACTAACACTTATACAGTTGCACATAATATCACGAAAATTGAATCAAATATCAACAATCCAAGAACATGCGGTTAGAGGAGATTGTGCGCAACGCAATGCTGTCAACCGCATGTCTCCAATAGCGCGTAATTAAAAAAGTCCTGTTATTTTCTGAACAAACCTCGTATAACTTATTTAAATTAATTACTTCTCAGATCAAATTTTAGTAGGTATGTATTAGTTACTTTTTGGAGATATTGATAAAATTTATTTTAAAAAGTCAACTTTAACGTTCTGTATCTTAAAAACAGATGATAGACCTATCCATGGGAAAAAGAAAGAGTACGATAGAAAGATATGCTAGTAACTTTTATTATGTAATAGAAAATTTATGCATCTAATAATAAATTCAATTATAAATTTTTTCATTTTTCATTTTTTTTAATCTAAAAATACATGTTATAGTTAGCTTCTAATTGACAATAAAAATTATACAATGATAATTTTCTAAGAAATAAGGATGAATCGTTGATAAACAGTTATTTTATTCAGTAGAATTTATTGATTACCTTAAAGAAAAGATAAAAGTAGAAAATCAGAAGGCAACGACAACAAAATATAACTATTACTTTCTTAGAATCGTTTATAAATATACAAAATTTGTTTTAATACAACTGTTGGTTACTTAATATGGAACAGAGGGACACATTATACTCATGTAAGGGAATACAACTTTTTAATTTTTGTTATATATTGATGTGAAAGATATAATTAATTAATTTTAAGTATACTCGTATATACACAACGTTTTGATCTATTGGTTTTTTGCAATAAAAATTCCTTTAAAAAAATGCGTTGTACCGCATTAGTCACACATTCAACCTTATCGATTGTAATGTAATTGAGGGTTGCTTTCGCTGTACAGCAAGAATAAAACGCTCTCTCAACGGTAATAATAAAGTATTTTATTGAAAACTAAGTTGTATAGAAAAAGACGTGTTGACGGGGTGAGTGTTCGTTGGAGAGTCCCCGTATGTGGAGTCGGTCGTAGGTATATGAGTACGCATCTGGTCACCGGTGCCAGTCCGCCGTAGACCCTTCCTGGAACGCTGGTGCGTCCGGCGGCGTTCTGCTGACGTAATGCTTAAAAATGGGTCACTTACGGCATGTGTACGCACATAATTGTGTACCCTTAAGGAGTTTTATCTGATTTGGAATTGACGAACAAATGTTCCTTAAAAAATTAATTTAAGCTTGTTAATATGACGAAAATCCTCAAAAAAAATAATTATGACTAGTTTGGATACCTAAGACGCGAGATATTAATCAAATAATTTTTCACGATTTAGTACAGTCTTATGAGAATGCAGATTTTTTTTGGTCTTTCCACTTAGAATACGCAACAATTGACGAACAGTCTCCACAGCAACTTGTATAAATAGGAAACCGATATCTAAGGAACCGTATGACAGCTTGTAGAAATCGATTAGGTACTTGTAAGATACATAATTTATAATAATTTTCCTTCAAACTGCTGTCGTTGACTAACTATTCCTCCATATGCGTGATAGCGGCAACGCTGCGGTCTCGACCTAGCGTATTATTTGAAATTCGCAGGTGTCCAAACAAACAGAATGATCGAACGGGAGCGAGTGAACGCCGAGCCAAGCGCGCCAGCCAAGTGCAACGTTGCCAAATCTAAGGGCTTACTACTTTAGTCGCTATGAATCTACAGAAACCCTCGTTAGACTTTAGATGTACCTCCGTACCCGATAAACCTCCTTAAAATTGTTCCTAGCTCGGAAACCTTCTTGAAAAGGATAAATATAAGATTTATTTAGTATCTTCATGTAAATCTACATATTCATACAATCATAATTTTATAATAAATTTAAATTTAAGAAAATATCGATGACCGGTTTTTCTTAATTTTTTAATTTCGGATTATTAAATGTAGTCTGTCAGAAAGCCTTAATGACCTAAGGGTCTACGTAACAGATTGTGGAGATATAAGTTGTTAAATTATGAACAAAATAACACATTTTTTCAATATCACTGAAGATACAGCGCGTACAATATTTGTTGAGATTGAATTACAAGAAAAGAAAAAGCGAATAAAGTTCTGTTATCGGAACTACTGCAACAATTTACCACGTCAAATATTAAAATATATATAGACTTTTGGATTAAAATGAGTTTCTATTTCCTTTACAGTACAGTACATAAATAAACTATAAACACGCTGCCTTAAAATAATTATGCACGTTAAACATGGTGCCGTTCGAATTGGAATTAAATTCCTTTCTTTTATTTTGTACCTTCATTGATTTATTTAGTAAGAAATTACACTGGAAATGCACAGGACGATACACTTCGTAGCTGCAAAATACAATATGCACTGCAAGCTGCTATGGTGAGCGGCATACGGTTAATGTCTTTCTACCTCGGGTGTTGAATGCGGTTAATACCAAGAAAGTGACGCAGGAGTCCTCTTGGAATTTTAACTCAACAAATATCGTACGGACTGTATAAGACTTGACTGATAAAATTTGAGATAACTATATCATTAAATGAAAGTAAAAATTCACTGATTAATATACAAATATGTCAGAGGGAACTAAGAATCTCAGATTTTTTTTACTTTATTCTAAATAGTTATTTTCGAGTTTATTAATTATTTTAGATTAAAATATGCTCATCATTAAATAATTCCAAAATTATTTATTTCACAATTTTTTTTTTAATTTGAAATACAGTTTTAAGTACAGCGTAGTAATCAAAAATTCAAAAAAGTATTGCTGTAGAAAATTTGAATTATTTGATTTAGTTATTCCACTATGTAACGAAATTGCGATTTCAACTGACGATTTCATAGATTTGTAAATATTTTGTAATAAACATGTAAAATAAAACTATTTTTTTAAGGATAAGTTTATTTAATGCTTATTTTAATTTTAAAACCCGCAGTATCGGATTTAAATTAATTCAAAGTACATCTGCGAAATTTTTACAAAAAATGTTACCATATCAATAAAATAAACCGGTAAACTGTATAAATAACCAATCAGAAATCATTCAGTTAACCAAATTTTTTCCATTATCGAGATAGGTATTAGAAATCTAAAAATAACTTCACTTACACACGTGCTAGACAATTGTAAATTTATATTCAACATTCTCTGGAAAAAAACATTAAGTATAATAATTAATGACAAACAGTTATTCCATTCAGACAAGTCATTTGATTAGGAGGTACTAATTAACGTTGGAAAAATGTAGAAGTAACAATTTTAATTGCAGGTTAATGGTTTCAATAAAAACATCATATAGGCACTTTTTAGAATCGTGTCTTTTTTTTAATTAAACTGTGGCATTCTATATTCATATAAAATTCATAAATAAGCATAAATAAACTGGTTGCTACTTTACCCACGATTGGTTAAAAATTTGCGCTTGATCGGTGCACGGGCACACTCGTGTACGTTAAAGTAAGAGGACACCAATTTTATTTATAAGAAGTTTTTGTGTAGGATGTGTATAAAATCATACGAAATATTTTCCTCTAACAAATAGTATATTTAATGAGTTTTTTAGAAGACAGGCGGCTATATTTGTAAGTAATATAATTTTAATTTTTAATAACATCTCATAATTCCGCTCTTTAATCTATAAATCACTAAAAAAGGATTATAGTTTTTAATAGGTTACTTCTAACATAAAATTTAATATCGAGATATAAATACTATAAAAGATGTTAAAACAATAATTCAATAATACAGTATTTTTAGTGGAAGTTTTTGGTTATCAATTTATACTTATATTTATTATATTATATTAAATATGTTATTAATTTGTCTCAACATTTTTATCAGTTACTGTTATTACATTGAGCATCACAAATATATATAGGGAAGTGCGGCAGTGGTATTCATCTTTTTTTTCTAGCGGACCCCTTAAATAAAATATACATTATTCAAGTACTCCCTTATCTAAAATATTACAATTAGTATAATCAGAGTTGGAGTAAATATACTTCAGTTTTAGTTAGAATTAATAGATGGCCAAGGGTTAGGGTTAGATAGTAGATAAATATATATTTTTTAAAATTATTTATTTTGGTGCCTAAGTGCCCACATTAATCACATTGTACCCTTGGTACAATGTTTATATTGAAATTTAGCCATGTATTAGTTAACGGTAAATGAAAAATTTGAGCTTGTTTATTAGCACATAGATTTTTAATACATGCCTAAACATTAGTAAGTGCGGGAATAAGGTGTTAAGACTAGTTGCGGTTTTTATTTTTTAAGTAAAAAAATAAAAAATTATATATTATTCTGGAATATGGAAACTAGTGGAATTGTCTATTCATTAATTAACATATTATATATATATTTTTTTTAATCTATATACCTATCTATCCTAAGAAATCCCTTGGCCTACCACTTAAGATGTCTTCACGTACCTCTGGTTGAATACTACTGATGTAGAGTATTGAAATTGGATGCGATAACATTTTTATCTCGGAAATTTATCTCGGACAAGATATATCGGGGCAAAATGAATAATAATTCTCTGGAAGATGGAAGTTTTTTTATTTTCCAGATTTATTTGAACAATTACAGGAAAATCGCTAACGCATACTTAAGTTCAATTCCATTTCTATTTCGACGGTTCGTTTTTTAGCAATTTATCATTAATATTTATACGTCAATCGATTCCACTCTCTCCTTTATATTCTGCCAATATGAAAAAAAAAAAAATAATCAACTAAATTGCGCAAAAAGAACCATCAAAGGGTTGTGTTTATAAAATTAGTTTTGCCTAACCATAAATCTCACACTGAGAAGGTTTTTTGGTCAGCAAAAATAATTTGACGAAAATAACCGCTGAATGATTCTTCATAACTTGCAAAATAAAAGAATTTGTATGCTTTTGTTCTTCGTTAAATTGTTGTTACCTCTTTATTCTAAGTTAAACTCTCGTTAACATTTTATTTTTTGTCCAATTTTTAATGATTTATATAAATTTATTATTATTTGTTAAATTTTAAATAAAGTTATTTTCATTTTGCTATTTTACACTCTTTAAATTTTTTTTAATAACCTAGGGAGTTTCATTGATATTTTATTATCTATCCATGTCTTGCAATTTAGGTACAAAAAACTGGATTATCATACCGCGATAGCGAGCACCATTAAGGGTTAATCCACACTATAATGTCGATCACGGTTAGTTCTCGGACCGATCTCGGTATGGTCTAATGGTCTCGGTCTAATCATGTTTACATTATACAATCTGACCTGAACCTGACTGTTACGGATAGTATGAATACACACATTGTTTCTTACTTAATAATATTTTACCAGACCGAGATCGGACGGAGAACGAACCGTGATAGACATTATAGTGTGGACTAACCCTAACTGTTATTGCCTGACCAGCCGCATTTTCGGAGAAAAATGGTCCGATCATGCCTCCGGCCCAAAATCCGCACGCAAATAGTGACACGTTGTGGATGCATTTGTTTCTCAACAATCACTCGTGGATTTTCTGTACACCAAATTCCACAATTTTGTCGATTAACGAAGCCATCAAGATGAAAATGAACCTGGATATGATTTTGTTGGAAAGATCAGCATCCACTTGTTGTTCCATAATCCATTCAACGAACTCTATTCGATCTGCGTGGTCAGTAGGCTTCAGCTCTTGACTCAATTCAACTCTGTAACCATCAGCGTGAGAATACGCTGTAGAGCTTCTCCAAATGCCCAATTCTTGACCACGGTGCCGAACTGATGTTCGTGGACAAACTTCGATGTCTTGAACGGCTTGTTGAAGGACGGCCAGAGTGATTTAGATCATTAATTGATCCAGTTGCCCCGAATTTTTCAATTTATCTCTTTACAGTTGATGAAGTTGAATCGTTATTCCGACCACAATTTTGTATGAAAGTTGCGAACTGTTGCTGACAAACCTTCATTATTTTTTTAAATATTGTCCATCAATGAAAACGCATTGTTCTTTCGCGTAGCGCTCCATTTTTTATAACCCTGGACTACCAGCTTTTTTTTCGTTGGCGACACTTTACCGCACAAATGGCACAAAATTCAAATCTTGCGTGAAATTTCGGACACACGATATTTGGTTGAAGAAGTGAAAATACCTTGTTTATTTCTTCAGATAAACCTGGAAACAATTGAAATGAATTTTTATATATTTTTTTTTCCATTTCCAACCATTTGAGACCCCGCGTAGACAATTGATTGAACTTTTTCCAAGAGGAGATTACGATGAGGTATTATTTTTTTTATTGTTAATGGAGTTATCTAGTATATTTAAATTGGATTAATTTATTATTAGAAATTGTTTATGAACTGTCGCACGTATTTTTCAGTATCAGTCTGCAGATATCAGATCCAAAAGATAATACTTAAGGTAAGTTTCTGTATATAAATTGTAATACGTTTTTTATTTTTTTCTAATTAATTAATAAACAAATTTTACGATTCGTAACAGAAGGTGTACCAGACATAATGACCTAAATAATATAAAAACAAACTTGTTTGCTTCACGTAGCTCTTAATACATACACAGTGGTAAAAGAAAGTAACATCATTATTTATAATTTTTACTACATTTAACCGAAATTCATGAATTCTAATTTTAATTCATTTTTGGTTCCAACAGTTCTTTACAAAAGTATTTTTGTATTATTTTTAATTTTAACAATTTTTTATTGAAAAAAAAAAATCCTAACAAAGTGCCGTGATTCATTCCCAACAAAATTAAATTTCAATAACATTTTAAATGACTTCGTAGGTGTAACAGATCGAAGTACGTAATGAAACATGTTTATGCGAAGCTTTTCGAAATAAAGGTACTATGTGAGCACACCGCCTAAACGAAGATTTAAAATACCTTCAATGTCATATGTTACTTGATCTTTATTTCAATTGAAGTCTGGTTGTTTATAAATTGTACGTACCGGAAAGTTGTCCCCCTTGAAACAGAAATTGATTTGCTTCGCTAGATTTTTTTTTATGTCTGGGATAAAGGTTAGGAACTTCTAACACGAACACATCATATATGTATAGGACGTCTGAAAACTACCTATCCCATAAATTATATAACAGATTTTTTTTTTAATGCTTGACATCACAATGAGGGTTATTCCCGATGATAAATATGCATTCAATAATAATCAATTTATTAAATCTGTTTTGCAAAAAAGGCATTTGTTTATATTTGAAATATTTACAATTCCCATCCTAGCAAATTCTCCATGAAATCTATACAGGGTGTTCCTTAATAATATGCGAATATTTAAGGGTGTGATTCTACATGCAAAATTAATGATAGTTTACTTTTTAAATTATGGTCCAAAAATGTTCCGTTGCGAAAATACGGGATGTTAAAATTTTTGGAAAAAGAAGAAAATTAATTAATATTTTCGAAACCGCTTGAAATATTTCAGTGATATTTAGTACGTAGTGCTAGTTAATAAAGGCGCATGTTTTTTAATACAAACATAATTTTTAGTTTTTACAGTGGCGTGCGTACGAGCACTGTTTTTGATATTTTTAAAGAAAAAAATGGAACGCCAGTGGTTTTTTCCCAAATAAAATTGTTTTTGAAATCCCCGTTTAATTCGAAAGATAAGAGCTTTCTTGAGTTTTTGTCCTGCGATGCGCCGTTTTTGAGTAAAAAATAAAACCCGTTGTATTGTCCACAATTAATTAATGTAATTATTGAATTTTGCAATAAACCTACTTAGTTGTGTCACTTGAATTTTTGAAATTTTGAAGTAAGTTAAGCGGTTTCGAAAATATGTATTTTAATTTCCTTATTTTCCCTAAAATTTTAACACCTCGTATTTTCGCAACGGAACATTTTTGGACCATAGTTTATAAAGTAAACTATCATTAGTTTTCCATGTAGAATCATACTCTTAAATATTCGCATATCATCAAGGAACAACCTGTATGAATAAAAATTAAATGCTGTTCTTTGGTAAGCGCATCATTTGAGAATGACTGGACCGATTTGGCCAATTTTTTTTTAATGTTCGTAATACTTCGAATAAGGTTTCAGGGAAAGAAAAATTAGAAAAGTTGCCCGGAAAACTGGAAAATTCGGGAAAAGCTGAATATGATTTTTTTTATGGGATTTTTGTATGAAATTCTCAAAACTATGAAATTCACAAAACAATCACAAACAAATTTATTGAAATAGACCTTTTTAATAGTGACGTCACATACGCCAAGTAATAGGCAACCCCATAGTGCACATTGTCATAAAGAATTTCTCAATATACTTTAGACATAACTGCCAAAAAAATGTCTTCATTGTCATGATCTTAAATATCGCGATATTCTGGCAATATTAGAAATATTTACGAAGTTTCAAACTCCAAGTGATAAACTAAATGAATTATAGAATTTATATAGGTATTTAAATTTATAGAATAATATTGATTTTTATAGTAATTAATAAATTAAAATTATATCAATGTTGCTGAGCATGTGCATTAAAGATAATTGCATGTAAGCGAAGTAGCCTCGCAACAGGATATCATTCAAGAAAATTTTGGTTAAGGTTAAGAGTAGGTAC